CACGACTCTGATTTGTAAGCATGTGACATCATTGATCTTTTTTGATCTAACGGCTATAAGATGAGGTGTCAAATTTTTAAATTTGACACCTCATCTGAGAGCCGTTAGATCAAAAAAGATCAACGACTCTAATTTGTAAGCAAGTGACACCATTGATCTTTTTTTATCTAACAGCCCTCAGATGAGGTGTCAAAAGATCCTACCTCTCTATATATATATATATATATATATATATATATATATATATATATATATATATAAAGAGAGAGGGTAAGATCTTTTGATACCAGTGTCAAATTTGAAAAATGACACTTCATCTAAGAGTTGTTAGATAAAAAAAGATCAACGACTCTGATTTGTAAGCATGTGATACCATTGATCTTTCTTGATCGTTAGGCTCTTAGATGAGGTGAAAAACTTCAAATTTAACACCGTTGTCAAAGAATTCTATCTCATATATATATATATATATAGGGGCAGGATATTCTTATACCAGTGTAAGAGTTAGAAGCCTTACACTCAATCTTAACCATTGATCCATTTGTATCCAATAGCTCACGTTACTAAAAAATTTGAGCCTTAGAAATAAATGAGATCAACGAATAAGATTAAGAGTGTAACTTACACTAGTGTAAAATGATCCTGACCCATTATATATATATATATATATATATATATATATATATATATATATATTGGAAAAAATTATTGTTATGCAACATAAGATAGTTTTATCTCTTGTAGATCCATCGAAAACCGTGACATTCTTTTTTTTTTTCTATAAATAATTGGGCCCATCACATGTGTGTCTACAATATGAGAAATCATTTCTCATGTAACATGAGATTAAATGAACCCATATATATTTCTTTCCTTATGTTAAAGTCAGTGGTCCCATACTTGTTATTATGACATTGTCATTTTCTCTCTAGAATGAGCACGTGAGATGATGGATAATTTTGATGCAAATAATTAAGAGGGTGAAGATTATTCAAAATTAATTGTTATTATAACATTCTTATTATGACATTGTCAATCTAATTATTAGAAATTAATAATTAATTAATAAGTGTGATATAATAAATATTATTGATTCTGAATAAATTATAACCCTTAGATTGACAGAAATCAATAGTGATTAAATTGATTGTAAGAGTGGTAAATTTTTTTGGTGATAAGTGAATCCATTCCTTTTATTTTTCAATTGAGATTGCTCATTTATCAATGAATACAAATTTTTTACGCATTTTTTCTGTTAAGTTGCAAATTGTATTTTTTTTTTCAAACAACTCAAATTATAACAACCGACACATGAATGGAATAATTATTATAAAGGAATGTTTTTTTGCTTTAAGTGTAAATCCCCCCGTTCATATCAAATTAAGTGGATTCCATTAACGAGAAAAGAGATAAAGTAATTAATGAAATATAATGGAACCATTTACTTTTAGAGGAGAGATATTCTAACTACCAAAATTTTTCACTATCAACTTATTATCTATTTAATCACCATTAGACTAATATTTTATCTCTCTTCAAAAACTTTTTAACATTCTTTCTGATCCAATGGTGATGTGATGGGTAGTAAGTTAGTAATGAGAGTTTTTGGTAGTTAGAATATCCTCACTCTTACTTTTATGTATTAAACTCTAATTATAAAGGAAGGTTATAGTTACAACCTATTTTCATTTACAACCTATTTTCATTTACAACCTCTTACAATCATATCTCATATCTTAACCGTTGATTTTCGTCAATCAACGGTTATTATTTTTGCAAATTAAACTCATTAATTAATTATTAATTCGCAATAAATGAGAACTGTGGATTGACAGAAATCAACAGTTAATATATGGTTGTAAGAGGTTATAAACGAAAATAGGTTGTAACCTTTCTTATTATAAATTGACAAAAGTATTTTTCCTTTTGCGGTAGAAATATTTTATCTGCCACATACATATTTTTATTAGAATTTGCCAACGAATCCTGATAAATATGTGTATGTAGCAAATAAATCTTTTTGGCATAATTGCAGAAAAATAAAACACTTATAAATTACCATACATTCTTAAAAAATAAAGTAAAACAAAGTAAAATCTTGCTCCTCGCCTAATGAAATGAAGAGTAAATACCCAAATTGGTCTATTTGGTCCCTGACAATAAACTCGGTACCCATTTAGATCCCTAACAAAAATAAATTAGCTGAAAAGTCCCAACAAACACAAATAGGTCCCACGTTAGTCCTTCTGTTTATCCAAAACACACGGCGTCATTGACGGAGCTGATGTGTAACGTTAATGGGCATGGTCACCAGTGAATCGTTGCTTGATATGCAGAATCGATTAGTGGTTGATGAATTAATGTATGAAAGATTTTCATTGGGAGAAGAGCATGAAAGACTATTGAATTCCCTCACTGATGAGCAGAGAGTTGTTTATGACAAAATCATCTCAGCAGTTACAGCAGGTAAATGAGGGTTATTCTTCCTATACGGATTTGGTGGTACAGGAAAAACATTTATTTGGAATACTCTTTCAGCATCTGTTAGATCAAAAGCTGAAATAGTACTTAATGTTGCTTCTAGCGGAATTGCTTCCCTTCTGCTTCCTGGAGGACGAACAACACATTCTAGATTTCGTATTCCTATTCAGATAAATGAAGATTCAACGTGTAATATAAAGCCAAATACTCCTATAGCAGAGTTGCTGTAAAAAACGAAGTTAATCATTTGGGATGAAGCATCAATGGTGCATAGATTTTGTTTTGAGACTCTGGATAGAACACTTAGAGATGTTCTTAGATTTTCTGACACGAGCTGCGTTGATATGCCATTTGGTGGAAAAATTGTTGTTCTAGGAGGTGACTTTCGGCAAATATTACTTGTCATTCCTCATGGCAGCAGACAGGAGATAGTAAATGCAACCATAAATTCTTCTCATCTATGGTCCCATTGTCATTTATTAACTTTGACCAAGAACATGCGTCTTTCAACATCTGCAAATACCACTCATGATGTGAAGGAAATAAAAGAATTTTCGGAGTGGCTACTTAAAGTTGGAGATGATGATCTTGGAGATGATGAAGACGGAGAATCTATGATAAGAATTCCAGATGAATTATTGATTACAGAATCAGAAGATCCCCTTTCAGATATGGTTAATTTTGTTTATCCGAATCTCTTGGATAATATTTTAGACCCAACATTTTTCAAAGAACGTGTTATTCTAACTCCTAAATTGTCCGATGTTGCTATGTTGAACGAGCACCTGATGTCTATGATTCCTGGTGAAGAAAGGACATTTTTGAGTTCAGATAAAATTCTAAAGCAAGATGTGGCTTCCTCCGTTGAGGATGATGAATTCACACCTGAGATCTTAAATACATTATCGTGTTCGGGGATTCCTGATCATAAATTAACCTTGAAGGTTAAAGTTTCAGTAATGCTTTTGAGAAATATTGATTAGTCCAGAGGTTTATGCAATGGCACAAGGCTGCTCATTACAAAATTGGAGAATCATGTTGTTGAGGCAATTGTTCTTACAGGAAGCAATATAGGTGAAATTGTGTTAATCCCTAGAATGACGATGAGCCCATCAAGTCACACATTTCCTATAAATTTCCAAAGAAGACAATTAATTCCCCCTGATTGTTTCATTTGCCATGACTATCAATAAGAGCCAAGGACAATCTCTTTCTCATGTTGCAATTTATCTCCCTAAGCCTGTCTTCACTCATGGGCAATTATATGTGGCACTGTCTAGAGTAAAGAGCAAGCATAGATTGAAGATATTGATACTTAATGAAAACGGTTGTGTTATAAATAGTACCCTTAATATAGTTTACAAGGAAGTATTTCAAAGATTAATTAATAAATTTCCTTCTGTCTACAAGGAGATAACATCGCTGCTTGGTACAGGTAAAGACAAAAAAAAAATGACAATGGAGTGCTTTTTTACTTATCTACGTTGCCGTTTGATTTTTTTAACTGCTACTTTTTTCTCTCATGCAGGAATAGTATTTCATGCACACATGATATATTATTAACTGCTATTTTTGAACAAACAGTATTCCATGGTCATCAATATATTGATGTATTGTTATAACACTTTTTATTTGTACTCACATATTTATGTGTTTTTTTTTCATACTTTCATTTGTAGATTATTACTTATTGATTTCTAAGATGATGAAGGATCACAAATGTAGGTTCGGCATCTTTCTTATTACCTTCAAGTCAAGCACATCATTTAAATATTTTTTGTTCACATGTTATGTTATTATGTTTATTATGATTTACTCTATTACAGATATATCATACAGAAATGCTGTTAAATGTTCTGATCATCTCCGAAAAATACTTACAAAAGTTGAGTCACACTTCATAATTTTTGAATGACCACATGACAATGTAAAATGCAACAATATACTTATATATGTTGCGTTAGTTTTTACGAGACAAACAAATCAATTTTTTTTCCCTCCGTACGTTACACGGGTAATACACTAGTATTCTTTAAAAAGACAAACATTTTTTTCCTTAAAAAAAATCACAAAAGTGTTTTTATTTTTTTGCAAGTTTAAACAAATATACCCTAACATTTTTTTTTTACATGTAATAAACTAATCCAAACAAGTTCTAACTAGATTTCAAAAGTACTGTCATTTGAATTACTTCATCATATGATCATATAATCCTAAGAGTTAACATCATGGCAAACAAGAAGTTAGAAAAGTAGAGCTGTGAGCACGGTACACTGGATTAAAGTCTTTACTCGTTACTGTAATCCAAAGTAAAACAAAAGGATAAGTGGAGAAAAGAAAAACAAATTTCTTTTAAAAATGCATTAGATTTTAGAAAGAGGATTCTTTTAGTTGTTAAAGAATCCTTTTTGATTGATCAATGTGTGATATTTCGAATCTTCATTCCTAGTCGAATCGAAATGATCCATGGATTGATCACAAGATCCTTTCAATTGGCTACAATCCCTTAATTGAATGAAACTAGATCTCATAAAATTATATTGAATATTTGAAGATACATTTGGTACCTTGTTAAAAAATCGATCCTTGTTTACCAAGGACACATTTTCTAACCAAATCCAATTCTCTCTCAATATGTTCCTCAAAAAATCCGAACTTAGGGTACATCCAGCTACTCTGTACTGGGTTTTGGGAGAAAGAGAGAGAAATCACCGGGAAAATCAGGAGAAAGAAAACAAAAGACAGTCACATTTTCCTAATATCTACTAGATGTAAAACGGACCGGATCGGCCAGCTACTTAATAAAATTCATCAGAATCAGAGTCATAATAGTCGTCGTCATCATCATCATCTTCTTCCCACTCCCTCTCACGATCCTGTAACCAAATATTGTCCTCGGCCCAAAGTGGGCAAGAACATGTTGCTTTTTTGTTCTTCCACTCAGCTCCGCAGTTATAGCAAAATTCGTACCCACATCTGAAATTACAAGTAAACATTATACAATGATAACATGGACCAGAAGTGAAAGTAAAATGGGCTAACATATCGTTGCTTCCCATCAAAGATGTTGTGATTCAACACTGATGACTTACACTCCTCACATGGAGAATATTACGAATATTAAACTACTTGAATAGAATATTAAGAACTAAGAACATTAGTTCGTGTCAACTCTTCTGGGGCTGGCAGTGAGAATCATTTTTGTCGTCTAATAAAACTTTCTACTTCAACTTTCATCATGTAATAATACCAAGCTCCATTGGGCTCGCAATGCATAAATTTCAAGACAAGATTTTTCTGAACATTATCATATTAAATGTTAGTTCTATAAAAACCTTTAATATTTCAGTATTCTTATGTTCTTTTTAACTTCAGTTAGTAAACTAAAAATTCCACATGACTCATTGCTGCACTAGTTAACAATTATGTCTATTGAGAATTATGTATGCTCATTGACTTTTTAATTGCTTGGAAAAAAATGAGAGACAAAGATTCTAGGAGGATGATTGAGACATGGTTTAAAACTAAGCAAATATTATTAGAGTACCTGCAAGTCATGTGATAACAACCTTCAGCAAGTTCAATCATATGGTTACACTTCAAGCACTGCCGCCATAGACTTGTTGTTGCCAGAAACTTCAGCTTCACATCTTCCGCAGGAGGATTAGGATTCAACCTTTTGTAAGTAGAACATGTCATACCACTATGCCAAGGGACCTTGCAGCTGAAACAGAAAAGACCATGACATTTTATGCATTTCTTGGGTCCTGATTGTTCAGAGTGACCAATAAGATTATTGGAGTACTCTAAAACCTCAGTTTTCGACATTAAAGCAGAGCATCTCGGATAAGGACAATAAATTTTCTCAGTAGCAGGAATTGAAGCTTCCAATTTTCGTTGCTGCATGGTCTCAACAAATCTATGAGTCAAGAATTTCCTGCAGCTGTCAACTAGAAGCTCATGATTGCATCCTTCATGAGGGCATTTTGGCACCATTCCTTGAAGCAACTTCACCTCGACATGTTGTTTCATGCAAGAAAAGCAATAACGGTGTTTACAGCCATCAACTGAGAACATTTGATTCATATCAGTATCCTCCAAACATATGACACAAGTTTCATTCAGATTCTTTCTACTACAGCCAGATTCCACAGGCTTTGTGGACTGAGAAACAATTGCATCTTTTGCAAGCTTAAATGCAAACTTAACATCATTTCTAGCCAAAAGCCTTGGACTGCAATGAGTAAAATTTCTTTGAAGCAAATTCACCTGATTAACAAGTATAGCAATCTTCCTCCGTTTCGCAGGCCATTTCCCATTTAGCTAATCAGCAAAAACAAGATATTAAAAAATAAAATAAAAACAAAAAATAGTAAAATTCTTCTCAATAAGCCATAGAAAAAAGGGACTCACAAATTGAAACAGGGGATAAGAATCACAACAATATGTAACACGTTTCAAGTCCAAAAAAATTGCAGCATTAAAGGCTTCAATCAAAGCCTTAGCCTCTGCAGCAACCTTGTTGGTTCCATTACCAACCAGTGGCTTCGAAATCTCGAGTATCAAATTATCACTAGGGTCACAAATTGCAACACCAATCCCAGCCAACACGAGCTTCTCACCCTTCAAACTCTCATCGCTCACTAAACCCTTGAAGTAAACCCTAAAAACCGAACCCTCGTCGATCACACCCTTCTTCGAACCGGATGAACAACCCTCGCCGAACGGCTTCTCGAAATTATCGCCCCATTGCTCCCAATCGGCCTCGGGGATCCTGAGAATCTCGTTCGCCACCTTCTGGTCGTGAATCCGACGGCTGAGATCCTCCCTAATCTTGCGCATCTCGATCTCGCTCTGCTCGCGGTCCTTGATTTCGCGCTCCAACCTCGTCAGCTCCTCGAATTGGAGAGTGGTGGCTTTCAAAACGACGGGCTCTTCTTCGACGACGGCAGCGGCGGCGGAGGAAGAAGAGGGGTGGCCTTCCTGGGAGGCGGCGAGGGCTTCCTCCATCTGGAGACGGAAGGCGAAGTCGAGGTCGGATTCCATGGATTCCGCCGCCGCGAGCTCTCGGCGTTGCTCCGTTAACGAGCACTGCAAGTCTTCGGTTAAGTCCATGTTGTCACTCACGTAACTTCCGTTAACAAAATAACAACAATTACTTCTTATTTTTATAGTTTGATTTAGGCCTTCTTTGGATGGCCATTTTAAAAAAATAAAATTATTTTATGATTTTTTTTAAATAATTCTTTAAAAAAGTAAAGCTATTTTATATTTATATAAAAGGAAAAATATTTGTTATTTTTTTTTTTTGATAACAATATTTGTTATTTTAAATGATATAAAGTTATGTCATTTTAAGAAAGAGATAGACATAAAATAATATTTTTTATTTAAAATTAAATTAAAAAAAAAACCACGCAATTTCTCCTTCATGATTTTTATTTTTTGTGTCTATCTCTCTCCTAAAATAACATAACTTATCATTTAATTGACAAATACCAAACCCATAAATAAAATATATAAAAAATACAAAAAGTTTTTTAGATGTTATAATTAATAAGTGTTTTTTATATATAGTTATAGTAAATTAATATATGAATATAGCGGTGATAATGGGGTGGAGTGGTTACAATGGGGTTGTAAACTTGTAATAAAATAAAATTTTTAAAAATAATATTTAACTTGTAGCTTCTAACTTAATAGAAATAAGAAATCCTAAATTATAAAAAAGGTACCGTTCTAATTTTTTTAAATGCTGTTTTTTTTTAAGTTCTTATCTAAATGCATAAATTTACTCAACAGAATTTTTTTTTAAATAGTTTTTCTAGAAGAAAAAAAAACACACTGATTTTTTTTTTTTTGGTATGACACACTGAATTTTTATTTTAGTCACTTACAACGTTTTGTTCTCCTTAATTTTTTTATTCAAAAAAATAAAAAAATTCGCGTTAAATAAATGTTTGGATTTAACTTTTAGAAAAAACAAGTAATTAAAATACTTTTTTCAGAATTAAAAATGTAATTTTCAATGAAAGTGAATCTACTAAGTTTTATATATATATATATATATATATATATATATGAGACATGATCCTTTGATATCAGTGTTAAATTTGGAGTTTGACATCTTATTTGAGAGCCGTTAAATCAAAAAAGATCAATGGTATCATATGTTTACAAATCAGAGTCGTTGATCTTTTTTGATATAACGCCTCTCAGATGAGGTGTCAAAAGATCCTACCTCTATCCACTACAAAAAAATCTGAAATTAGCCACATTAACAAATGTGGCTAAACTAAACAAAAAACGTGGCTAACTAAAAAAACCACACTTTGCATGAATGTGGCTAATAATGGCGTTGCAATATTTCTGCCACACTTGTTGGTTAGTTTTGCCACATTCTGTTTGAGTGTGGTAGTAGTGATTTAGCTACGATTATAACTAACTTTGGCACGGTTAAACCGTGGCTAAATTAATTTTTTTTTATTTAAAAAATGACCATAATATAGCACGATAACAAATTGATGCTCAATTATTGGATCAAGTATCACCAAAAGAAGGGTACAAAATTGCATTTGATGACAACCAAAAGGTGCAAACTATTAACAGTAGTCTATTAAATAATAACTCTATTCTTAGATGTAAATGAAGATTACTTTAAAAATTTAAGCACAATTTTTTGTCCCATGAATCAAGATGCACCCACAAATAGCTTACTAGTTCAAGTATTGAACTCTATTTCAAACTTGAAAGTGTTACACCAAAAGAAAAAGAAGATGAATATTCATTAGTTATATTGGAAGAGAACTATAACATCACCAAGTTGATATGATTAAACTTGACAGCAACATCCTGCAATTTAAAAAATAAATGAATTCAACAAAACAGAATTCAATCAAACAAATCAGTAACTGTGTTAAGTACTAAACAGTTATGCAAAATTAGCTAACTGACTTAGTAAGAATCATTGCTTTCACAGTTCCTTGCACTTATAGTACATAATACATTATTTACCAGAAAACTACTATGAAAAGAAAATTCAAATAAGATCATGTAAAGAGGACAGGGGAATGTTTCAGAAACTAAAGATTAAAAAAATCAAACGCAAGCATGTCTCACATATTGTCACTGAAGTCTTCCAACAGATTCAAATAATCAGGCCATCTTGCGAGATAGGTCATGTAGAAAACATGTTAAACTGAAGCAAACAAGGACAAGCAATTAAAGTGAAGGCACCATCAGCATCGATTGAGTTCACAAACCCCAATTAAAGTGTTGAATGGAAAACTCAGAGTTTCGGACCATAAAGAATTGCTTGAACATATGCATATTCAGGCTTGTCATCTTAATTTTATTAAAAGAACACAATATCAATAATGTAAACAAATTCTTCCTTTAGAAATATAAATCTTACCCAAGACATACAATCATAAATTGCCAACACTGAATATGTGCTTCCACCAGGGCAATTTATATACACCTGCTAATAGAAGCAGCTCAATATAAATCCTGTAACACCCCGTATATATCCGGTAATGTTATCATATTATCGTATTAAGCAGCGCTTAATTAAAAATGCGGAATATCTTTTTCTTTTCAATTATGATGTCATTATCATTACCAACTTGCTTATTAATCAATTAATAAAACATCGCCTGTAGGTAATTGCAATAAAACAGCTATCTGAAAATACCTCATAACATAGATAAATAAAGTGTGGCTCTAGTCACGGAACTACAACAACATAGACCGGACCATCTAACAGTTTATACAACTCCAAATCAAAAGCACTAACATAAAGTGTCATGGACAATCCCCATGCTCACTCAAATAAGGCAACACGCCCAACACCAGTCTCAATAACAACATAAACATAAATAGCGGAAAACATAAACAACATCCATATCCAGTCATGGCAGCAAACAACATAATATCATCAACTAAGCTCTGGCCTCCTGCCGCCAGAGGCATCAGTCACCAAACTACCGGAACCTGAAATAAGCATTCCCCAAACGTGGGGTGAGATCTCTAAACAAGAAATCTCAGTAAGACAAGGGGTCCTCAAGGATCTTCCACCCCAAGCTCACTTACATGTGCAATATAAGTTTAAAAGCAGTTATCATCATCAATTCTAAAATAGTGCAATGCAGCAGATAATCATGTCATGTGTGTCAATTCTATTCTACTGGCCAGAGAAATGCAGGATTTACATACGCTAAATACCCACACTAGTACAAGACGTTACTTGCATTCACCCCGGATCACCATCTCGTATGACGCCACATACTCAGGTTTACCGTCAAGATAAAACAACACATGCATATTAAAAGCCATTACACATAAAGCTCAACAGCATTTCAAATATTCAAAGCATGTAACACATCATGCATACAACCATACCCCCATGGGACATGGTGGAACCACAACATGGCTAAATCGAGGACACGAAAGCTTACCTTGCAAGCTAACTCCCAAAGCCAAGAGTCCACAGCTCAAAGTCCAAACACAGCAGATTCACAATCTATTATGGACCAATACTATATTAATAATAATGCAACACAAGCATATAACTTAAAGACAACGCCTTTCCTTACGTTTTACGTCTTAAGGCTCCATACCAAGCCATAAGCCCTTAATCACTATGATTCTGACTTAGTTCATTCATTACAGGAGTTCAACTTCATCAATCTAGGGTCCACAAACCCCCAATAGCCTATTATACACACAACACAACTACTGTTCTACGAAATCTCAGAATATCCGGATATTTCTCGGGACCATATCCGGATATTCAATATCCGGATATCTCAATGGACATATCCGGATATGCAATATCCGGATATCCAGAATCCCATATCCGCATATCTAATATCCGGATACTCAAAACCCATATCCGGATATCACATATCCGGATATTCCTCGGGCACATATCCAGATATTTCACGACAGAATGCAGAAAATGCATTTCGTGAAGATATCCTTCCAAGGTTCCATTTTGAACACTTAATTACGTTAAAGCATGCATCTTTATACTGATTAAGGTCCACACCCCAGTTGGTTACTTGATTAACCCATTAAACATGCAAAGATCACACCTTTAACCCATTAAAACACAAGCTCAAGGTAGGTACAACTCACCAAAGCTCAAAACAGAGGATCAATGGCTCATGAAGCTCACCACACTGCCTCTACAGGTTCTGGAAATAAGGTGTACGAAAATGCAACACAAAGGTTGGTCCTTTCTTCACAAAGAAGCTTCTTGAAGCTTCACAAGCCAAGTAGGAAGCTCTCACCCTCACACAAGGCCACTCAGCCCACAAACTGACTTCAAACAGTCCCTCAACTCAGAACCAAAACTCTCTACACACTCACAAAGGCCACTCACACAAGGCTCAAGTGTTTGGAGGTGAAGAAACCAAGCAAAAGTGACACTTGATCTCCAAAATGGTGAAGAAAGCTCAATGGAACAGTAGCAACTGACCAGCCACTCCAGCATTCACGTAGCAACAAAAAAACCTAGGGTTTTGTGCCCTTAACAAGGGTATTTATAGCCACTTACTCAATTAACACACAGTATTAACTTTAATTGCGACGCTTAGCATTTTAATCCCAAACTTTGGAATCTGAAACTACATATTTTTCCAAGAATTGTCATATTTTTCTTATAATTTTCTGAGCACCTTTCTGGTACGCGCTTTTCAAAGCCAGTACCGGTTTCTAGCACCATTTCTCATTATTTGGACTTGAAACTCGTTTTACAAGTCCTACATATCATTCTAGTAATTATCATGCACTTACATTAATTTTCCGGGATACTTTTTCGGTGCGCATTTATACTGACTAGCAGAACCGGTATCTGCACTTTTCTTCCGAAAAGAGATTTTCAGCATTATTACTCACTTACTATAATTATTAAAGCCTCATAATAATTATTAGTGTCAATTATGGAATCATTTCCTATTTTCTCATAATTTATTAATTAAATTCCTTAATTGACGGTGCAGGTTCTTACAAGCTCAATATAAATCCCACTTTATGACTTGACGAAAGTAAAATAACAATGTCAAGACACAACAAACCAGTATATCTGCATCAATAGTAGCTAGAGTCACAAGCTGCGATATAACTCTCTGAGCCACATGCCATAGTCTATCAACTGAATGCTACGGTAGTGTTTCACGATGCACTGCTTTATAACCTAATTCACCTCTATACAGATACACTTACTTGTCCAGTAAAGAATTACAGACAAGTCAGGCCTTTAACAATACAAAATGGACAAAAATACGTATTCAACGGCATGCTAACAAACAACCATATAGTACATGAAGCACTTGAAAGAGGAAAGGAACATAATTATACCTTGTACTAGCATCATAGGTATTTTTCTCATCAAGCTTCAAAGGAAAGCGAGGGCTTTTACTAGAAAACCCTGCGTTATACAAAATATACACATCAATATCATATCATAACATTCTTTAACGCAAAGTAGTCCATATCCATAACTCATTGCCTTATATAATAATAAGCAAACAAAAAACCAATTATTTGTTAAAAGGATTTAATTTTGATCTACTAGTGGTGTAAAGAGTTTTAAATTATCAATGAACCACATGGTGCCTATTATTTAAGAACCTGTGCTGCAAGTGAGAAACCTTTTGTGGTACTAATTTATGGTCAAAATTAAACTCTTGGTTAAATATCTGAAATTACGCAATACTGTTACTTATCTCACTATCTATTTGCAAGGTTAAACCTCAATTGAAGCTTCAATAATTCAAATAAGGACAAATGATAGGAAAAGAGTGTTGCTCGACACAAACAACAGGGCACAAATAAGGAGGAAAGTAGGAATATCATATCCATATTATATACAAGTAGGAATATCATATTCCAAGGGAAGAACTTCAACCTACAAATGCAATGAAATTTAAGTAAATTCATCCTCTCCTTTTGAAAAAGCAGAGGATCCCCCAAAACTTATTAAGCATGTGAACAAAGGTTTTGACGTCACAAGAACAAATTTTTTATTTTTTTTTGGATACAAGAAAGAACAATTGTCATCATCCATAATGAACCAAATCAATTCCAACAAATGACAGTGACAAAAAAAAATAGGAGGGAAGTTATAATATGTTTTAGGAGTAATGTTTTTTAATGACTAAAAATTAATTTTAAATTTATTAAATAATCTTTAAAATTTAATCTAACAGTTTACTATTTTTTTATTACTAAATGCCCAATTGCATTTAAAATTTTAAATTATAACTAGTTCTGATTATTTTAAATTTAAGTTGGATAACTTTAACCTAAATACAGTTTATTTACATGCGCTATATTAAAATAAGGGAAAAAGGTGTGTCATTTTAAATGACACACCTTACATCTTTTCACTCTCACAAAGAGGTGGGATCCACACTTTTAAAAAAATTTCCCTCCACTCTCTCTCCCATGATTTATCTCTTTCTCTCACTTAAAATGACACAACTTTATGTCCTTTAAAATGATACACACTTTCCCCTTAAAATAAGCTCCACCTAAATACAGATAATTTATATGCACCATATTAAAATGATCGCTACAACTATATACAATCATGTTATTTAAACATGGTAGTATATAGGTGGAGGTAATAAATTATAAAGCACTATAGAAATTTAAGCTGAGCGTTTTATGTTTTGGGGAGTATAAGAACATTTTAAGATTGTTTAAAACATTATATTTAAACAATAATTTACATTTAAAAGTAAATTATCTGTCCTTGTGGTATATAGTTGTAGTGAGCATTTTAATATGGTTCTAAGAGGATTCTAAGAGGCATTTATAGGTGGAGAAATTCTACAATAATTAGTGAGAGTGAACCATAATGATTTATGTCCTTGTGGCCCCATTAAGTGTGATGCAAGTATTCTCATCTAGTGCATGAAACACGTATGCAGGGAAGAGGGTGAGATTCAGTATAATAAGCTGACATTTGTCTCACTTTAAAGACTTTAAAGATGTATGATTGTAATTGTAACCTCTTCAATGTGCCTTAGAGGCTAGCGTAGTAAACTGAGCTTGGATTTAGACTTTATCTTTAATATAACTTCTTAACAAAGCAATATACAATATTATTGACTTTTTCTTAAATTAATTTTAACCGGTTATAATTTTAAAATTTAAATTATAACTAGTTCTGATTATTTTAGATTTAAGTTGGTAACTTTAACCTAAATACAGTTTATTTACATGCGCTATATTAAAATAAGCTCCACCTAAATACAGATAATTTATATGCACTATATTAAAATGCTCGCTACAACTTTATACTACCATGTTATATTATTTGCTAACGTGACTTCTTTTGAAAATTTTCCAAATCATTTTATATCACGTCAAGTTTTTGTTTTAGTCATTCATAAGAGTTATTGAATATTAAAATGGAAAGAATTATATATATACTCCAAATTCCAGTACCAAAAGGAATGATCGCCCCATAATCATCTTTATGTTCCATCAGCAATACATAGTGCACCATTAAATAATGTCTTTCAAGCAATTTATGATTTAACCAAAAAGAATGATCACCCCCATAATCATCTTTTGGTAAGTGAATCATTGCATGCTGTGCTAATCGAATCCAATAACTCTAATATCAAGGAATTTCAAAACAACAGCATAACCCTACTCAAAGGTTAAAAATAAATCAAATACCAAAACATGATTCAACACATATGTTACTCACACAGAGACATTAATCAAACATGTTACATGCACTAATTATATATTAGACTCAAACAGAGATATTTAATCAAATAAGTGACATGCAACAACCTTAAATCGCAACACAAAGATTAACACATTCACAAAGTTACTAGAGACACAAAAATATTAAGATAGAAGAATCACCGCTAGAGAGTTTGGCATTTTTGGAAATCAAACTTGCTATGGAGAAAAAGCTTCATGCCCTAGGGTGCGTCGAATCTACAGAACAGAACGAGGAAGAAGGATTTGAAGAAGTTATGATCCTAAAGAGTTGAAGGATTGGAGGATTTGAAGGCCTAAAGCAAACAAAAGTTTCAGCTGAGAGGTACGAAGCTAAAGCTTGGGTTTTTCTGATGAGTAAAGCATTTGTTTTTTTTTCTTCTTCTGATTTTGACTAATTATTAATGGTTTTTAAAATAATTTTGCTATATTTTTAAACAACCCAGTAAAAGTTGGGGTATTTTGGTACATTACACTTGATTTCGTTTAATGTCGCTAAAAAAATGTGGCGCAACGCCGCATTTCTTGTAGTGATCTATATATATATATATATATATATATATATATATATATATATATATGGGTTAAATGAATATTCAATCACTGATCATAGCATTTGGTCCAGTCACACAAAAAACTGCATCGTTTTGTGTTGGAGGGAAAAAAATAGAATTGTTCTCGTTCACTTACTGTTTCCCTTTCACCCATATGCTTTCCATCCTCATTGTCAAGACTTTGAAGACGGTGAGAAAGAAGCCAACAGGGCTTCAGGTTATTCTTGTCAAAATTTTGTTTTTCTCAGTTCTCATTTTGATTCCTAATTTGTGTTGTATTTTCTTTTTGTTTTTTCTCTGACAAGTTATTCTCTTTGACTTTGTTTTATCTCTATTTTTTCTTCTAGTTATTTTACCTTACATTTACTGACAAAGGTTTTCCCTTTTCCATATGGAAAGCTTTCCTCTGAGTGGTAGTGTTCCTAATTTTAATTTTAATTTTAATTTATTTGTGTTCTTTGTGACAAGTTATCCCTGTTAACTTTGTTTTTTTTTTCAGTTGTTCTTACTTTTTACTAATGAAATGAGGTTGCTATTTTCCAATTGGATAACTTTTCTCTTTGAGGTACCGATACTTTCCTATTTTCTCTTGACCGTCATCTTTTTTTATTGTTAGGTCTCTATCAGTGTTCACCAATACTATGATCTATAAGCTTCTATCAACTATTGACACCAACTTTTTTACTTTTCACAGTTGTAAGGTCACTAGCTTTATCGATTTTCAATTATTCCCTATTGTCGTTTAGCTTTGTATTTTCTCTTTTAGATAATAATTAACATGCTTCCTTGACCTGATAAGTTTAACAACAAAATGAGAGCATAACTAAGTTGCAACTATAAACTAAGCTGCCATGACTAGAGCTATGATTACGTTGACCCAGAAACTCCTTTTTAGGATTAGTTGAAATTGGGATTTTGGTTAACATTGCATAATCACTAATAGAATTTCACTTAAAATTCAAGCATTTGACCCATAAAAGTACCACAAAAAAAAGTTACATGCAAGAAGATATAGTATTTGCTTGCATTTTTTTTATTCATCCAAGTTATAATTCCATTGGTTCTTACTTGTTTATTAGTCATACCATTTTTTTTAATCGTGCAGCGCATATATCTAATTTTATTGTTGTATCTAACTTTAATGGTGTAAATATTGTACAGAATATTGTTCAGTTTTTTTCACATCTATGTAATGGATCACTCCCACATAACAACTATTGAAGACATTGACATAAGTGGAAGCTTAGTATATGCTGATGACGTTGTTGATTTGGAGAAAGACAATGATGAATTCAGAGAAGATGAACAGTGTAAAATCTTTGACGATGAAAATGGTGAATGTGGTGAAGATAATGTACATGAAATTGTTGGAGATGATGACAGTGGGTTGAGTGAGGCCCCAATTTTAGGGAGAGTCTTTAAGACAGCAGAAGAAGCTTATGGTTTCAATAATGACTATGCACAATGTAAGGGATTTGGAATACGTAAGCAATACACTAGCAGAAAGTTCAAAACGCAAGAAATATATAGGTGGAATTATGTGTGCTCAAAGCAAGGTGTCAAGAAACAAAACCATAAAAGAGTTGATGTTGAAAATGTCAAAAGGCGAAGGGATTCAAGGACAAATTGTTCAGCGATGTTACAAGAAAAGTTAGTGGATGAATTATGGATCGTGGAGAAGTTTAATGATGCGCATAATCATCCGTTGATGTTGACTCCTTCAAAGGTGAGGAAGTTTCATTCTCATAGTGATTTACTACGCTCAAATTTCACTAAATCACTTGTTTCTAAGCTTTTTGAGGAGGGTTTAACGTCGTCAAAAATTTCAAAGAGGTGGTGAATGCCATGAACAAAGAAGTTAATATTACTCCTGTTCATGTCATCCATATTATATTAGAACAAAGAAAGAATAATGTAGGACGAGAATGTCAAGGCATCATCAAGCACTTTCAAAGGAAGTCCGCTCTTGATGGATCTTTTTATTTTGATATGCATTTGGTAGAGGATGGTACACTAAGAAGTGTTTTTTGGGCGGATGGTAGGTCGAGAGCTGCATATGCTCAATTTGGCGAAGTCCTTGTGTTTGACGTGACTTATAAAACGAACAAGTTCAAGTTTCCTTTTGCCTCTTTTGTGGGTGTTAATCACCATGGACAGTCAATTTTATCTACTGTCGCTTTGTTAGAGCATGAAACAGAGGCAATATTTACATGGCTATTTGAACAGTTTCAGATGTATGTTTGACAAGTCTCCTACTGCTATTATCACTGATCAAGACAAAGCTATGGGAAAAGCAATTGCAAATATATTTCCAAAAGCACGACACCATTTTCGTGCATGGCACATCAAAAAACATATTATGGAGCATAGTCAAGCATTATGTGCACAATTTAAAGATAGTTTTGATATTGACTTCCGTGAGTGGTATAAAAGTCGAGACATTGATGAGTTTGAAGGCAAGTGGAAATCATTGAGGACTAAATATGATATTAAAGCAGGTAGTTGGTTTGCTAACTTGTACGATTCACGTCATCACTGGGCAAAGGCATACTTGAAATATACTTTTTTTGCTGGAATAACCACAAGTGGCCGAAGTGAGAGCATTAATGCATTTTTTGATGGATAGTCAACTCTAACACAATGTTAAATGACTTTGTTACTCAATACGACAAAACAATCAAGTCTAGGAGGGATATAGAAGAAGAAGAGGATTTCAAAACTAGAAATACAAAAGCAATTTTGGAGACTAATCATCTAATTGAAGCAATGGCTGGAGAGCGTTACACAAGAAAATTATTTGAGATTTTTAAAAGAGAGTGGAAGGCTGCTATACGTGATTACTTTCATGAAAAGATTTCAACACACAAAAATGTGATCAAGTATCGGGTAGGGTCTCCTGAAGTTGATAAAAAGTGGTGTGCAATTGTCGACTACCATTTGACTGAAATATTCACAGCTCATTGTTCGTGTGGAAAATTTGAGACTATGGGAATTTTGTGCAAACATATTTTATACATCATGAAGAAGAAACAAATAATGAACTTACCTGAAAAATATATTATGTCTAGATGGACAATGAATGCAAGCTATAAGGCTGATAATCTTGTAGGTTTTCATGCAGAAACAACTACTAATGAAGTTAGTGCATTGTCTTTGTGGTCGGTTCACTCCAAAGTCAACATTGCTATTTCTGAAGCCTCAGATTCTATTTTAGAGATTAGAATGCTTGACACTATGATTACTGAATTTCTGCAACGACAAGTGGAAATAAAGAGAAACAGAACTGATGACGAACCAACTCCCCAAATTGTTCCTTCACAAATTCCTAGTATTGTTTCTCAAGTTTCACTCATTAGTGATGTGCGTGATCCCACCCATGTAATAAGAGCTAAGGGGCGTCCAAGGGTTGCTTCACATATAAAATCAAGTTTAGAAATGTCGACAAAACAACAAAGAACTTGCAGTTATTGTCAAGGAAAAGGTCACTATAAAACTGGTTGTCCAAAGCAAAAGGTATGTAATTACTAATTATGTTTGTGTTTGACTCTTTAACCGTGATGAAAAGTTTGTAAGTTTTATTTGCAGATGGATATTGCAAAAGATAAGCAAAAGGAGTAACAATTATTGTTCATATTTTCATGGTTTCATTTTGGTAAGCACTGATTCATTTAATTAATTAATTAATTATTTATTTATTTTTAAATATAATATTTTTTTTTGCTGGAGGTTTTGTATTGTGCTTGTAGGCCAATCTTGTTAGAGGCGTTAGTTGTGTTGTACATTGCCTAGAAATTTAAAAGGATTAAAGCTCAAATCTCATTAAGCAAAGAAGAATTGAAGACTTAGTATCTAGTGTTTTTTATAGTGTTTTTGAGGTTTATGTATCTTTGTGAGGATCTTTCTATGACTCACATTTTTGCTAATCTAGTAAGGTCTGTCTTTTTAATCAGAATTAGGGTGCTTAATTCAGTTAAAAGCAATCATTGTTCAAGTTTGGTTAGAGCAAGTTATGATGGACTGCAAGTTATAAATGGCTTGTGGCTGAATGATTATTGTAAGTTTTATTTTTTCTGTGCATATTGGAAGGAGTTCTTTTTTTTTCGTTTTTCAAGTTGTTATTCCATGGCTGATATTGTCCTTTTATGTCAATGTTGGAGTGTTTGGGCAAGTGTTAACGCATGTTCTGGATTTTTTTTTATCATTATCAATATATTTTCTTGAGATTCTTTCCTAATTATATTGCTCTTTAAATTTTTTTAAAAACATGTTGTTTTGTCTATATTCATGTATAGCTCAATAAACTATATAATCCTACATCAGAAAATCTTGTCCTTATCATTATCAAATTTGACATTGTATCACAACAAATTTCATATTAAGCTTTTATCCAACTTAAAAACACGAAACAAGGAAGGTGAAAAAGATGGAAATTACAATCAAGAAGATAAATTATTTGTTTTCTTCTAAGCAAATAAAGTATGGCTTCGTTATGTTTGTCATGCTTGAGGTATCATATCTACCTTGTTTGTGTTGTGGCAAGGACGATTTATTAGGAGGCTGAATTCTAGCTCAAATGCACACAGATGATAATATGCAGTAGCAGTAAAACATGTGTTTTTTGTGACTTCATTAAAATAAATAAATAAATAAAGTTCTATTTTTGTAACCTTTCTTTTATTTTTCTTTGCTTTTTGGGTTCTGCATCCTACTTTCACCGGAAGATAATGATGACAAGAGGATAGATGAGATATAAGCAATGAAGTGGTAAAAAAATATGCGTAAGATTCTATTACACTTCAATGGAATTTGATTCGAATTTGGACATATTTAACATGGATAAATTAAAGTCTAAACATAATACAACCCCTATTCCCAGGTTTCAAATCCAATTTTCACAATTCCTGCATCTATAATAAGAAGAAAATCTCCACAATATTTAATGTTTTGTAGGTTGCATGAGGAAGCACAAAACCCAACACCTTTATCCTCAATTTCATTCACCATTTGTCACTTCACAAAAGCTTCCAAGCTGCAAAAAAAAAATAGCACGATAAATTAACAAAGCAAACCATTACATTCACCAGTGTTGGATGAAGAACGTGTTGCTACAAGCTATAAAGCAACCAAAATAGAGAAATAGAATAGTCCTTCCAGTTAAATGGACATATTGATCCCGCACAAGCCATCTACTAGATGGTCAAGGATGCCTAAAAATAAAACATTTTATTTGATTTATCTAAACCTATATTTACAACCTTGCAAAATACAACCTATAGTAATTATTAAAACGATTTATTTCTCGGTCCCCTTGAGACAAATTTCTAAATCCCAGTAAACATGAGGATTCAGACAAAACAAGCATTCTATAATTACTAACCAAGCAAGTGTAATACATTAAAATTCTAGATTTAGACATGGTACAATCACAAGAAGAGGAAACCATGCCCCTTTCCAAAGATAACAATAATGGAATCCAAGATAAACTAGAAGATAATATTGATGATTCCATAATACTCAAACTTAGTAATTTATAGTTATATGAATCCCATAAATAGAATTCGAGCTTTCCCCAATTGAAAGTACCAGTACCTCAAAGAGAAAAATTGTTTAAATGAAAAAGAGCAACCTCATTTCATTAGTAAAAAATAAGAACAGCTGAAAAAAATAGAGAAAACAAAGTTAGCAGGGATAACTTGTCACAAAGAACACAAATAAATAAAATTAAAACCATTAAGAGGAAAGCTTACCATATGGAAAAGGGAAAATCTTTGTCCGTAAATGTAAGGTAAAAATAATTGGAAAAAAACCCTAGATAAAACAAAGTCAAAAGAATAAAAAACGAACTAAAATACAAGACAAATTAGGAATCAAAATAAGAACTGAGAAACACAAAGTTCTGGCAAGGATGACCTGCTCACCGTCTACGAAGTCTTGACAAGGAGGATGGAAAACATATGGGTGAAAGGGAAACAGTAAGAGAACGAGAACGAGAACGATTCTATTTTTTTCCTCTAACACAAAACAACGCAGCTTTTTGTGTGACTGGACCAAATGCTATATTCAATGACTGATTATTCATTTAACCTTATATATATATATATATATATATATATATATATATATATATAATATATATATATATATGGATATTGGAGAATGCTAAAAATATTGTATTACTATGTCAATTAATGAGGAGAATCTGCTTCAATGAAAATTTACACATTATAGTCCAAGTCATGATCAAGTTTGCATTTAAGCTCAAAAGATGCAAATTTAAGAATATGAATGAAACCCTTGTCATATGTTTGGAGGATACTGGTATGAATCAAATATTTTCAATTGATGGGTGTCAACACTGGTATTGGTTTTCATGCATGAAACAACATGTGGAGGTGAAGTTGCTTCGTGGAATGGTGCCAAAATGCCCTCTTTAAGGATGTAATTATGCTCTTCTAAGAGACTGCTGCAGAAAATTCTTGACTCATAAATTAGTTGAGAACATGCAACAATAAAATTGGAAGCTTCAATTCCCATTAGCTAGAAAATTTATTGACCTTAGTGAGAGATTGTATTGCAGTTATGAGAATTTTTTTTTTTGCCAAGGAATATGGTAGAAAATGAATTTTTCGAGAATATTACAAAAAGTTGTTTGATAGACTAAAATATTACGGGGAATATTGACTCAAGATTACTAATTCTATGTTTGATTGATTGTCAAATATTGATGAGAATGTGAGATTATTTTACAAAACTAACTTTATGAAACCCACTTTCAAGCATGATAAAAAATATAGAGCTAAATCCAAAACTGATTGCAACTGGTATCGGCATTCGATGACAATGGTTGGATGCAATGAACCTAAATCCAAAACCCAACATTCCATTTCATAGCAAAAATTCATTCTAAAACAAAACCCAACACCAACACCATATTCCTCTCAAAAAGATCCATTTTTTCCACCAACCTAGGTACCAAAACCTCGAAAAGGTTCAAACTTGTTCTGTTTAAAGGCAACCCTAACCCATTACTTTGTTCTCAGGAGGATCCTAAGTAAAGGATAAATATTTTCCATTTCTTGCGTACCTTTGGAGACACTATCCCATGGACGAAAACAACAGAGTTTTTATTTCTTCTATATTTTGATGTTTGCTTATCTTGATCATTTTGAGCATTGTTGTTCCAGAAGCTGAGGCTCGAGCATATTTTGTTTTTGGCGATTTGCTTGTTGATAATGGCAATAATAACTACCCAATACCCACGGCCTGTGCTGATTCGTACCCTTATGTCATTGATTATCCAACTAGGCATTTCTCCAATAGCCTCAACATCCCAGACATTATCAAGGAAATGAAGATAAAGAAGAAGATGGAGTAGATCTTTCAGGGCAAAAAAATTAATTCTTGCAATTTAAATAAAAAATTACGAATTTATTGCTGTTTTGAAATTATTTACGCATATATTGCAGAATGTCACACCCAAATTGGGCGTCACCTCCACATGGGTCATGCCTAAATGGGGCGTGACCTGTGATGCCCAATTTGGGCGTGATACATCAAATATTGATGCCCATCTGGGGCGTGAATGATACAAATATATATATTTAAACCCTTATCACTCTACACACTCTTCACAACTCTTCTCCACCATCAATTCTTACTTTTACATACAAAATTATTAGCTTATTCATAGTCTTTTATTTTATTTGTTATTCTATTTAAAAATGAGTTCACATTCTGATTCTGTTCGTGTTGTGTTATATTACAATGGTAGGAAGGTGGAAGGCCGATGATGTGTATTTTTTGAAGGTGAAAAAGGCCAACATGTATCAAACATAACTTAACAATTGATGAACTGCATCAGAGAATTCATCAAAAGTTAACTCTTCAAGGTAACCAATCTATCACTCAGGTCACCACAAGGTTTTGGCAATCTGAACAATATATTAGTTTGCACGTGGAGGATGATGAAGACGTCGAGATGATAATGGAAGAATTTTTCAATTAGTCAAGGAAAGATTTTTTGGAGTTGTATATGGACATTGCCGCAGTAGAGGATGTTGTTTTACTTATGAGGTCAGTTGCTTTAAATTATTCACGTCATGCATCAACATCTGCAGCTCATACTGCTCCAGTTGTTAACATTTCTGAGGGAAATGAAAATGACCCAACTTGGGTTATGCATAACTACTATTATGACGATGATGATGAAAATATCGCAATGGAAGAACATTTTCTGGCCGAGGATGCTAGTGCTTTAGAAGGAGATGACGATTGTGATAGGCTCGCATCTCAAATCCCAGTATATCATGATCCGGTGGAGTTTCAAATCCCGCAACTTAATGACATGGGCTTCGCATAATTAGCAGAACATCATGGAGGTATTTTAGTATTTAACTCGTATGTGATTTAGGGAGTGTAAACAATATAGTTACACATTCGTAGATGCAGGTGATGATGCTGCTATTCCTTTTTGGGAAGGAATTTCACATTACACACATATTGATTGGAGTTATCGGAGTGAACAAGAATCATGTACTGATGGTTCGGTTTCGGGATCAATAAAGGGTCCATGACAATTGGGTGACAAGTTATTTGTGAACCAAGAATTTGCAACCAAA